GTACAAGTTACCAATGCACATTATTACATTTTATTTTCATGTTCCCAAGATACTTTTGACACATTTCACTCATGTTTTCACCCTCTCATACCTCTATGTTTTCTCCCCATCCCCCAAGATGAGATTCAAATTGATATTCACCATGAGTTATTAAAAGTTATCTCATTCATTTCTCATTAAATTGCTCTAGAACTCTCGGTCTCGCTCTCTTGATTCTTTGCTCTTGGTGTAAATCAAACACATTTGTGGAGTCGTTTAAATATGTTGGATTTTTTTAATATATTGGATTTTAAACTGTCATACAATTTTTTTCATTGATAGACTGTAATTGAAATCATAACTCTTATTTATTCAAATTGTATTAATATGTAAGGACCAAGTGTAACTTATATCATTGTTAAATATTCTCTAATAAAACCAGTGAAACTTCGTAATCGTTAAAATTCACGGCTCCCGTCACATTGTGTGGGTACACAATTTGTTTTATAATATAAATATAGATTTATTTAAAAATATGTAGTTTCTATTCCAAAAATTAAAAGGGGCGCGTGGAAGTTGTTGAGGAATTAGAAGGACAGTTGATGGGGGAATAGGGTCTTTAAGGTAACCTTCTGCTATCACCTCATCGTAGAATTTAGTCATTTATTATTACAAATTCTTTTTCATTATTATATAATAAATGTTTTTTTTAATTTTTATAATATTAACCGCAAAATAAAACCGTCTTTCTAATTAATTTTCTTATTAAATAAATATTATTTATTTTTTTATAATTATATACGATCACGATGTATATACATATCTAGAAGATGAAGCTGAAAAGGTATCCATTTATTTAACGGTTGATGGCTGAAAAATGGGCCTACTTTCACACCATCCGATTACACACTTGGAATTCTATTTTCATAGCAAGCCCATCTTCTTTATTACTTTATTGTTGTTAAAATATATGAATTTTGTACCACATGACTTTTTACTTGGCGGGTGTTTGGAATTGTTTATTTGAAATAACTTATATTTTTTTTATAAAAGCATTTATTAATTTATTATAAGTCAGAAAAGTTTAACTTCGTCAAAAACTTCTTATTGCCGGTTTGATACCGATATAAGTTATTTATCCGAACACTCAAAAGTACTTATTACCGATGCTACACCAGGATACCTCAAACACCCCCTTATTATTCTTGAAATAATTGCTAAACATATTAATGAACTGCCTAATAGAAACTTACTTTTTATAAAAATTATAATAGATATTTATATTAGCTATTTAGGTCTTATTTGGTTTTAAATTTTACCTTTTGTTAGTCTCTTGCTTAATGGTTAAGAGGTTGGCTCAATAATAATGTTTGAATTTTTTGGTGATAAGAGCTTCTAAGCTCTTGTCGTCCTCTGATTTGTCAACTAATAAATCAACCCCTTAATTTTCTCTTATCCTTTTGATCTTATCTATTGCCTCTCAGTCGCTCCTAATCAAAGCTTCTTCTCTTGATAGATCCCAAATTCACGTCTCTATAAATCGATCCTAAATCTCATTGCTCAGAATCGTAGATTTCATCTCTCTCTCTCTCTCTCTCTCTCTCAATTGTACCTGACCAAATAGCCTATTCTCTCTCAATCGATCCCAAATTCAAGTCTCTCTCAATCGATCCTAATTCTCGTCGCTCACAATCAATCCCATATATCGTCTCTCTCAATCGAGAACATAAATTGTATTTCATTTTATGGTGAGAAGGATGAGAAAGAATCTTCATTCCTGAAACAATTATATTTCATTTTACACTAGAGTCTCTTAATCATTCTAATCACTTAATCATTTTACACTAAACCGTTCAGCAACTGTCAAAATAGTCTCTAGTGAGGTTCTAAAAATCCATTAAATGATTTTAAATTTTTTACAGTTTTTTGTTATTTACCTTAAAAAAGATGTAAATTATGGTTGATTTATAAAGAATGCATCGATATTGCACCCACATACATATCTACATACGTCATTTGCATTTATTGATACTTTTTGTATCTTTTAAATTAGAAAAGCATCGAACAAACACCCAACTATGAAATACAATCACAAAAAAATAAAACTTAAATTGATTTGACCATTTGTTTGAAAAGTCAAACGCTCTTTTGACTTGGAATCTTTTTAGACTTGAGTTGCTGCCAACCCAACATTCTCCCCATTTTATATTCATACTATCATTTACTTTCCTTAATTATCGTTACAACCATTCATAATGTTTAAACTACTTATTATTTTTAAAATAATGAGCCACAAATGTGGTGTTTGATTGGTTTGAGTTTGACTTTAAATATCAAAAGTATCAAGATGTCTCATGTTCAAATCCAAGGAGAAATAAAAATCCCCTTGTAGTCACGTAAGTTCAAATGCGGTAACTCCGGGCTATCTACATAGCAGGTGGTCTCTTTGGGATTAGTCGGCTCGCATAATGGGTTGGATATCCAGGTTAATAAAAAAAAGAAATAATAATGTAAAACATTTAACATCTAATTTTTACGATTCCTTTATTTATAATAAAATGTATAAAATATACATCCTTTTGATTTAAAAAATACCGAATTAAACTTAAATATTGTCGTATATCGCAATGTTTGCAACTCTTCCTAAACCTTTTCGTTTCCCTTTCAGCAATACGTAAATAAATAATTAAATAATTATAATTAGTGATGGCCAAACCGGCTCGGCCTGGTCCAAAGGCTGTCGGAGGACCGGAACTGGTTACAGCCGCTTACAAGAAACTTCAGACCCGATAAAAACCGGTCCGGGCCATCACTAATTAAAATGAAGCCGTGGGCAGGAGCTCCCATTTAAGTGAGCCCACAAAGCAATTAAATAAAAGTAGCCCACTACAATTCTACGATTAATCAGCATCATCCATGGCAGGAAGCCCACAGCAGCGTGGGTGGGATTGGGAAGTGGGAACCCATATCCGTCTTTAAGGTAAGGGTACCATATCATATATCCCTAGTCCATACTATTTCTTTGGTTATTAAAATATTTATCAATTCGGTCAATCCAACGCGGAAAAACCTAAAAAGCTCAATTCGAATTAATCTGATACATAGTTGATATAGAATTAGAGCAACGCATATTTATTGGGTTGGGATTTTTTAATACACTTCTATACTATAGATTTAATATGATCTGCAAGTTATTGATTAACATATATACATTAGACATTACACCAATTCGTAATTGGTTATATTCAAAATTATATTACAATATCAACTGTAATTTATTTTCTTATTTACATAAACCTTCGACTTTATTTTTTGACTTTGTTGTATGTTGTCGTTTTGTTTTTTTTACTTCATTTAAACAAAAACATTTAACTAGATTGTAAAAATGATATAGCAAAGTTTCTACCCGATTGACCCAACCAACCCTCACGGTTTGGTTTGGGTTGGGTTGGATTGTAGTTTCTCTTGGGTTGGGTTGAGTTGGGTTGGACTGAGATTTTTCAACCCGCAAACATTGGGTTAGGTTGTTCAAATATTTTCAACCCGGCCAACACAATCCATTTGCAACCCTAATTTCTTACAATTAAATTTGATTTTTTTTTCAATATTTTTATATCTGTTATAGTGCAAAAAGAAGGCTCGACTGCTTATTCCATTGAATCTAACACGAGACCATTTTTAGATTACACCCTTTCTATCTCTCTAGACAGGCCCTTCTCCAACCGGTCGGTATAAGCGGATTTACGCAACTGATCGGCATTTTACCAACATTTGTTGTATTTCACGAAGGAGTCGATCTAATATAGCGCAACATTATTTATGGCCAATATTTTTTGCGAGGGATAGTTTTTGTGTTTTATTTTTAGTGTATGGGTGGAGGCGAAATGAATTTTAATATATATGGGCTTGTATTTTAATGCCTTTTAATGGTTTGGTTTGGAAATGGTAAACCCAACAATACCCCTTTTGGGTTTTTATGGGTTTTTTACCCATCCAAGCATTCGCCATTTTCATCACGAAAAATACTGTACGGACTCATTAATTGTGATTGCGTTGATTCTTGTAAGTTTAAAATTGGCTTAAGAGACCATTTAGTAAACGCTTACCAGCAAAAATCATTATCCTTACTTATCTTATCGAGTAACATTCTCGATCATTAGAATATATTGTTGGTTAATGTCTCTCACCCGGTAGATAATTAGATAAAAGTCTTATCCTTATCACTTATCCTTACTATGCATGTTATTGGGTAACACTCTTGGTCTTTATCATACTCACTTGGTAAAGTAATGGCACGTTGACAACTGCCTTCGGCATCCCCCTCCTTGCGGTTAACTTGACTTTGAAGTTGCCTCATTTCGGCAGCAATTGCAGAAAGCCTTCACTTTTTTAGAGCGGAGCTATATTAGGTTTTTTTCGGTGTTCTCGTTCTAATTTTTTATGGATTTCCCTTCATTTATGAAACAAGTCTGCAGTGGTTCAAAACTGGAATTGGAAAAAAAATAAACTGGTTCACATAGGAGTTGTGGATACTGGTGTCTGAACATCAGATGCAGGATATGTTAATTTTAGTCTGTAATCTTGTAAAGAGGGTTTCAACAAGACTACGGATCCAATCACGATCTTGTTTATAATAAAATTTGGTAAACGAACCTAAGAGGCCGTTTACTAAACACTTGTTTGGTAAGTACTTATCGGATAAATTTCTTCATCGTATGAACATGAGAAGGGTCAATAATCTTACTGGGTAAGAGCGATGCGAATGATGAAGAGTTTTACCCGGTAAGTGAGAATGACGACTCTTACCTAGGTAAATGCTTACCCATTAAATTGTTGCGTTCGATATGTTTTAATATACTAAAATATTACGCATCAAAATAAATCATAGTGTTGACTCTTATCGATAAGCGCTTACCGAATAAGCAATTGGGTAAACGGCCTCTCCCAGGCCCAGGTTCTTATTTTGTAAAAGGAAAGCCCAACCCAACTCTTATGCAAACGAAATTGGTTTGAAAAACGACACCGTTGGCAATGGAACACGAACCCTTTTTCTTCGTAAGATCTGGATCTTCAATTCGCATTTGAAATTCGAAGTTGCTGAGAAAAATCAAATCTAGACAGTATCTAAAGAGAACCATTTCGATGGAGAATAGGGTTCAAGAGGTTTGTGAATTTCTCCATTTTACTTTGTATCAATGTTCTGTAATGTAAATTAATGATGAGCCTGATGTTCGTTTCAGATCATAGAGAAGCAAGTGCTAACGGTAGCAAAAGCTGTAGAGGATAAGATCGATGATCAAATCGCGGCCTTGGATAAGCTGGATTTGGACGATATTGAGGTCCTGAGAGAGCGCAGGTTGCAACAGATGAAGAAGATGGCGGAGAAGCGGAGCCGTTGGCTTGCCCTTGGCCACGGAGATTATTCCGAGATATTCTCCGAGAAGGATTTCTTCTCCATCGTTAAGGCCAGCGATCGTGTTGTTTGTCATTTTTATCGCGAAAATTGGCCTTGCAAGGTGAATGTTCCTTTTTGGACCTTTCGTAGCTCAAAATCTTTATCATTTGGGGTTTATATGATACTATAGAATTATTGAGTTTCAAAATAGAAAGTGACTTGAAGATTACGCGCATTGAATGTCCAAAAACGAGCTTTAGTTTAACCGATTTAGGGTTTAGATGACATCATGCTTGTCGATTTGTATTAAATTCTGAATTGGATGATGAGGATTTTAATGCTTGTTTAAGGAATCTCAAATATGATGAGAGGGTTAATGTGAAAACTAACTAGAGGCATCATACTAAGACGAGCATAACCTGAAGAAAAGATTTTGTTTGGTGATGTTGTTTACAGGCTCCGTTATGTTAGCAATTTTAAGGCTTAAACTGAATAAGATCTCAAAAGGTGATGCCAGTTCATATTAGCAATTTTATGCTTCTTTCTATCAACTACTTTGTTATGACCTTATATTAACAAGGGTTGTTTGGGATACAAAAGCACATTCTATGATTACCGATTCTCACTTGGGATCACAATGAAAAAGCCAAGACTTGAATAGCTTGCTTCCTGAATTCAGTTTGCACAGTCGCATTTCAATCTGGTCTCTGTGCATCTTGAAGATCCTTTGTGGTTATTTGTTGCAACGGTATTTAGAGATCCACGGTTTTGGTTGTTGTTGTTGTTTGATGTCAAAAAAGTTCACCTTGATTCTACGACTCATAATATTGTCACTTCATATTTGATTAGTTTTCCCTACAGACTGTCCATGGTGCATGTAGAGCCACACTCTCATTTGGTATCTTGATGTAGTTTTTGGAGAATTATATAGTATGCTATTGCCAAGGTACCGATAAATCCTTGTTTCCGGTTTGTTTCTAGTAAAAAAGCTTAACTTTAAGTACCAAAGTCCATGATAGTATGTCTGGAAGCGTCTACTATACCAGGAGTATCAACGAGCCTGATTGCAACAAATTACACAAGATACCCTTTTTAGTTTCTAAGTTCAAGATCCCTCTTGCTAAATAGATTCAAAGAATTACTTGATGCCCTGTTAAAAGTTCTTTTAGAGGACAATGACAAGAAATAGTCTGATGTGGAGAAAATAAACTTGAGAACAAAACTATTGTGAGATTAGAGTTGAGAATTAAGGAGTAATTTTTGGAGGTAATTGCAGGTGGTGGACAAACACTTGGGCATATTGGCGAAGCAGCATATTGAGACGCGTTTTATAAAGATTCAAGCAGAGAAAAGTCCGTTCTTAGCAGAGAAGCTAAAGATTGTAGTTCTTCCAACAATTGCTCTCATTAAGAATGCCAAAGTGGATGATTATGTGGTATGTCTGTATGCACTTGCTACGTTGTTGTTTGTTGCTTCTGTATCGATAACATGCTGCAAATGTGTTTTTAGGTGGGATTTGATGAGCTTGGTGGGAGCGATGACTTTAGCACGGAGGAACTGGAGGAGAGGTTGGGCAAAGCCCAAGTAATCTTTTTTGAAGGGGAATCGTCTTTGAAACCTCCGTCGAAGCTGCAAACAAGAAATGTTCGACAGAGCTCAAACTCTCAGGATTCAGATTCCGAGTAAAAGAAATGAACGATGTTTTGGTTGTTATATGAAAAAGTTGAGGTGTGGGTGTATTATTAAAAGGTAAGTAGCGTTCAAGAATGAGGTTAATCTTTTGGAGTATGAGCTTCTGTTCTTGCTTGCATGCTAGCTATCAAATCATGTTTGTTTTGTTTATATGTCATCAATCAATGAGGAATGGATGAAGAAAAGAAGGATGACAAGGATACACAACATTAAGGGGTTGTTTGTTTACCTCTTAATAGTTTCATTAAAAGGCAACCTCTGAATTGTTAAGAGGTGAATTTTGTTTGGCAAAAAAAAGGTATTTCTTTTAATGGTTATAAAACCGTCTCAATGATTTTGTATCCTGAGCCTCCTTTAACCATTAAGCGTTTTTATTTCATTGTAAACAATTACCAAATAATTATATTTTATTTTACACAATATCAGGAGAACATCTTTATCATTTTGACCACTTAAACATTCAACATTAAACCATTCAGCAACTGTCAAACAACTTTCAAGGTAATGCAATTTTTGGCTTAAAAGGTTTTGATTCTTTAGATTTAATCTTAGGCTTGCTACTTTGGGTTTTGTTTCTTCTTTTGGGTTTTGTTTCTTCTTTCCACAAATTTTATTTCAATAACTATATTAAAGTATAAAAAGCGTAGAAATCTCCAAATTTCGAGAAATCTTTAGAACTTAATATTTGAGTAAAGAGATATATTAGTTGAATTGTATTCATTAATGAAGTTGAATGTGTTATAATCTTTTATAAAAAATTTAAAACTGTATTTGAATAATGAATTTATAAAATAATTTAATAATACATTAATGTTAGAATGGTTAAAACAGAGTAGTTGTTGGAGTAATATGTAAAATTTTTGATTTTTAATATTTTATTTTAAAAAATTATAAAATAGTTGTTGAAGATGTTCTTATTGTATTATTGATTTACGTTTGACTAGATTTATACAACATAGCAACATTTTTCAGTTAATCAGCAAACATGACCATAGTTCACAGGATTATGTGCTTAATAATAAGTTTGTTTTTCATTGAATCTCATATATTCGATAATTCTAAAATTACTTTTAATCGATTTTACGTGAAAAAATATGAAAATTCATGTTCAATTATTTAGAAACAGGTTACAATAATCAAACCAAACCAAACATATTTCGTATATTTCATTCAAAATAAGATCTGATATGCAAATATATCTAACTACCTAATAATCCTGCATAATCTCGAATGTTCTCAGTTCCGATACATTGATGAAATCCTATATTTTACATATCCGTACGATTGACACTTGGCTTTTGTTGTTGCAGCTAGAATGCCCATTGGTGACTTTTCAATGACACATTCAAGAAAAAATATAAATTTTTCGGGATTTTGCATGAAACGTATGCTTGAATATTCGTCCATAGCTCAAATCGGATAACTTTCAAGAATTGGGTCGTAATAACCTCATAAGTATCATACCGAATCCCATCAATCGAATCACTTTTTCGAGATCTCTTGCGTTGGAACCCATGGTTATAGGCCCGAATCCATTAGTAAGAATGCTTTTGCTTCTTTCTTTGTTACTTTTAAGGAAAAAAAATTAGAGTGTTTATGTAAAAATCTACATGAAAAAAATGGAGAAACAAAAGGACTAAGGTTTTGTTAAAAAAGTTTTCATTTGTTGAAAATTGATATTTTCGTCTTTATATTTTTTAAATTATGATTTTCATCCTTATAATTCAAAATTAATAGTTTTATTTTTATCTTTATGATTTATTGTTATTTTCATCCTTGCTTTTGCTATTTTCGTCCTCATACCTAAAGGTAAGAGTTGGTAGGACTAATATAGCAATGAATTTCATAACCACAGGGATGAAAACCATAATTTCAAAACTGCAAGGACTGAAGTTGTATTTTTTACCAAACCACATAGACGAAAAATGTATTTGACTCTAAATAGATGTTCGAATTATATTACTATTACACACTAAAACAAGATGGATAAAAAGGATGAAATGCAGTAGAAATTATTACCCAAATCCAATATCCAAACACTATGTAAGAACAAAATTATGTATAATCTACACAAGGAGCAAAAACATCCTATCACCACCAACAAACATCTATTCAGATTTTATTTCAAGGACTTGAGAAGCTTTATAGGATTCTGGTTCGAGCATCTCGACTTGGATCCGGTTTTATTCCCCAAGTTCTTCTAACTCAAACCCATGTCGATAAAGTTACCAAATTGTCTACGAATATTTGAGATGTGAAGCCGTCCTCAATGTACATGTTCACCATCAGAAGCTTCGTTGCTTGACATTGATAAAAGCTCCATAAGTTCCACTCGATACTCCAAGCCCCTCAAATAATGTCCCAGCAGCATGCACCTAAGTTTAACACACCCACATAAACAGATATATTCTAATCAACTATTCAAACGAAAAACACTTGGAAAATAATGAAGGAGAAGCGGGCTAACCAAAAGAGTAGACGAGCTAGATAGTCCCGACTCAAAGAAACGAGGGGCTGAAATTGAATTGAAGTGTTCTCCACAACATCATTCCCAATTCCAGTACTTGCAGTGCCTATTGAAGTGCTTTCAGATATATGGGGAGCTTGCGAGTGCATCTTAGGTGAAAGAGTTGCAAGGAGACCATGGACAACAGAATGGATTGTTTCTTTGAGATCAGCAGATGTTGGTTCCGATAGCTCAGCCACCTGTTAACGATATGCTTATATCATCAATCTTACATTAAATTGTTAACAGGACTGTAATATCCAAAACTTGCCATGCCCAAACGGTATAATTCATGATAATATCATTCTAAACCATCTATATAGAAAACGAATATAATCTTAAGAGATGTGTATAAAAAGCTGTTACTTTCCTATAGCAAAACGATACTAAAGTGGCATTAGATTTGATAACCACCAACTTCCCTATATTTCAAGCAATGAAAAGTACACAAGGACCATTGACATTGGAAGGCTGGGTTTGGCATAAACTATATGGCTAACCTTTTCTGGTTGTAATGATCTTAAGTAGTCCAGCAATTCATTTTTTTCTTCCCCAACAAACTGTTGCATCTGGAGAGCTGCATTTTTCCTCTTTACTTCATGGAGCTCCTGGAATTAGAAGAAAAAGAAGACTACTACCGGCTTAGAATTACTTCAGAAAAGCTAGAGGAACACACTAAAATTAAAGGTCTGTAACAATAAATAACGAGTTCAAAATTTAAAACAAATAGTGAAGCTTCATTGAATAAAAATCTTAAGGAGAGAGCAGAAGCTTTACCAGGTGACATACAAAGATTATATATAAGAGCCTAAACATTCCACAGCTGTCAATTGTTGTGACTAAATTTTAATTGTGTAGACCGTAGAGCCAACAATCCTGGTAAATACCGTCTGTTTTCCATCTACATGCATTTTGTTAGCATCGCTGGTATCCCACATATGTTATAGAAGATTGTATAAGAATAACCTAAATGCACAGAGTGCAAACTCTAGTGGTTTAACAGATTGGATACTCTTTACCACTTCATCAGAACAAATTGTTAATGCTTGATTTGACAAATATCAGCCCAAAAGGAGAGAATCATGAATGCCTTCGGGAACCATTAAATGGAATGATGATATTTCAATAATATGCTATCAAGTAAAAAAGGAGACTTCACTATCTATCTGCTTTATATGAACTCCATCTTCAGTAACATTTTAGCAAGTTCGGTTTCAATTCAAACCTATATAGCCTCTAATCAATATGTCATAAATCACAAAATAAGAAAGCATACTTGATTCATGACATTATATACAGTACTTTGTTTTATTCCCTCCATCCTACAAGAAGTGGGATGTCCCCCAAATGGCAGCAGGTATGAGAGCCCCCGTAGTAATCCTTGGAGATAGTAATAATGCATTTTGGCCCACAAGATTTCCTTTAAAAAGTGCATTTTGAGCATTCCAAATCGGTAATAGCCAACCACAGATTTATTTTGTGCACAATCAAACTTACCAACTCTTGTGGAATAGACGGGTAGTAATTTTCAACCTTAAGAGAGTGTCCTAGAAGATTAATGCTTACTATTTCAACAAATAAATATATGAAGATTCGGCATTGTGTATTTCTACAAAGAGCTTCTAGAGGAGATATCGGAACATTGCTTTGGACCAGTAACAAATCCTACATAAAAGTGTACCGTGACTGTAGACCTTATTGGCAGAAAGCAGCTCAATAGGATAAAAGCATCTTTTTCTAAATCCAGACAAACTGCAGAAAAATTATTGACCACGCAGATATCAATTCACTTCATAAATAAGCTGTTGTTATAGAGTTGAAAAATGAAATTAGATGGTGGGTACCCAATTGAACTGATCGCCTCATGTAGGAACAAAGTTCAAGTCCAACTCATATGAATGATAAATTAGATCCACACAAAACCTGAAGGGAAATGCCACTCTTCTCAACGTGGAGTACAGAAAATGAATCCAGGTGCAGCCAGGAACTTAGAGAAGCAGAAATCAATAGTATAATGACAACAAATACCATTGGAGACCACACACCATTTATGAACTTTAATCGAGTTATTAACTGTCAATCAAATACAGCGTGACAATAAACCAAATGGTCTACCTCCTAAGTTTGAAATAACTATGTATATGCCTCTTGCCAGAAAGCAATAAAGATTGGAACTTCTTCATTGGCTGATATAATTGCTGGAGTTTGTCTAAGTAACAGATTAGCTATCAAAACAATAATTTCATGAATCAACAAGGAAATCACTCTCCTTTTGGTGTGAAGTTTGCAAAATGATTCTGGTAATATTTACATGCCCACCAGAAACAGAGAAAAAGATTCATAGTACAGTGTCAACAATACCACTGTAGACCATCCAGAACTCATGGAATTTAATTAAGTTTTGCCAATCATCAATTAGATATTTAAATATATTTGTAATAATGAGCACAAAATCTAACTCTGGAGAAATGATTTATGTATTTACCTTTTTGACAGAAAACAAACGGGATTGTAGCTTTAAAATATACTGTTGCACTTCAGGAGTCATTTGACCAAGATCTGGGATCTGAGATGCATTTTCACTAATTTTTTCGGGCTTGTGCAACTCATCTTGGTCACCCCTATTTGTTATTATATTGTTGTGCAGTAACGTTCGTAATACTTCAGATTTAGAATCTTCAATTGCCTGCTTATCTGTACTTTCTTCATCAGTATCAAAGTTCCTCTCGAGACACAGCCTATATTCAGCATTCCGAAGTGTATACCTGCAAATGCAATGCAAGATGATTCAATAAAAACTTATCCTATCAATAAGACCTTTTGTATGATATGAAGAGTAAGGAAAAGATATACCCCTTCCATCCCGTGGAAGTTGCAACAATTTCTATGTTGGGAGTTGGGACGCCCCATGAAAGCAACCTTCCTTTTCATGGCAAAGTTCCAGGCCAACAATAGGTATTTGCTGATTTTCGTCATTATAAATAATTGATTCAATTGCTTTTGGTCTACAAAATTCTCTATTTTATCATTACTTAATAATATTTCACCCTTTGACAAATGATGTGTCGCATCAAATCAGATGGAGCGTGTATTTTGAGGCTTGTTATCCATATTTCATCAAACCCAGTCAGATGCAGTTTTCATATGCATAAGAATTGATTATAAATGAATAAGCCTATGAAATTATATGGTGGAAAGAAAGGCAATCCCAAATCATACCAGTTTAGAGGGTGTTTCGTTGGGTGTATTAACGAGTGAGAAATGGGAATTATAATGAATAATGGTGTTTGGTTCAATATTATGCAATTAATGATTCCTTAAAAGTGGGTAATCATCAACATACCCTGGGAGGGGGGGGGGGGGGACTTTTCATTCACCAACATTGTCATTCCTTATCATACCCATTCCCATTTCCATTCCCTTAAAATGAACCAAATGCCCCCTTAATTTATGATCCAGGAGAAAGGAATTACATACCTTATTCCCTCCTCATACAAAATTATTATCACATTCACTTAGCAAATGAAACATGTCTCTTGGAGTCCTGTTTTAGTTTTGCAAGGTTGATATGATTCCTTTGCATATTTTGTATTTCCAAATATTTTCGTGGCATGTCCCATTCTTTTGTTCTTTTACCCGTTTGAGGAACGTCCAGTGCCAAAGTCACTGCATGGGTAAGTCGCCAATCCCTAAAAGGGACTATGTAATGTATTTTGTGGAAACATAGTTTTGATATTTGTCTCTTTTTTTTTGGAGATTTTTTTATGAATTCCTCCAGCTTCTCTTTTAGTATTTCATAGTCCTAAGTTGGCAATTCAACAATTAAATTGACAATCATAAATGTCTTGAATCATAAACCGAACTGCAGATTATTATCAATATTTTATATAATATGTACATATACCCAACATAAATGGCAAACATTCTAATGATTTAGCTTTTTATCCCATTCTTCATTCATTACAACTTCAATACCAGCTAAGCACCTTTCTATTCATTTGGATATTGGATCAAACAACTCTTACACACGTACCAAAAAACAATAAAAGTAAAAGTATAGGATAATTTATATTGTATCATATAATAGGATCTGAATCACTGATCAGATAGGATTTCAACTCAATAATGGGAACTTTAGCCTTCTAAATGATAGCTGAAAAACTTGATGCCAACCAATTCCGTATTCAATCTTAGTTAAAATACAACAAATGATAGATTTAAATTTGCACATTCAACATTAATTGAATAATGATAGATTCAGTTCAAAGATGATGTTTGACAGATTATATTCAAGAATTATACAAAAATCATATAGAAGTGATGATATGTATCAGTGTAGGTTAATTGACACGCTCAAACACATTCAGCATAAGCAAATATTACCTAGATTCAACATATTTAAAAAATCTGAGACATTATAAATATTTGCAAGCATGAAATATTAAAGTTAATATATAACAAAAGTATCAACAAAAATTTGTTCATGGATCACAAACAAAATAGTCAAAATATAATGACCATTGTGCAAACAATGCATAAATATTGTCAAGTCATCATTCAGATAGAGTAGTTTTAAAAAAAATCGATAGAAGTTGATTTAATACATTACAATTACATAAGAAGTGAAAAATACCTTTCTCTTTGCAAAAAATACAAGAAATATGGGTTACCCCCTTTGCAAAAAGTACAAAAATTATATTGGTTTACAGATCACTACTTTAAATGCATTTCTATTTTTATTAAAATACCATCCACCGATACACTTAATGCAGAGTTATATTTGTTTTAATACAAATAAAAGTAAGTATTCCGTATACATATCCGAATAAAGAATCATCTTCCCATCGTCCTCTTTTTTTCTCGATTATTCTTTCCTTAAATGTACACAGATAATATTTGAGTCCAGATTATATCCAAGTAATAAATTCAAATGGTGATTTTTGACATCAGTTTTGGCAACTGAATTTGAATTTTGATGTGTGCAGATTCATTTCCATTAGCATCCTTTCATAAGAGTAGGGACATGCAGTATTGTTTCAGGAATAAAAAAATTAATATGTTTCGAATCATGAACCATGTTTTACAATTATGGTTGTATTATGGGCTTCATCCCCAAGATCGTGTATACTCTTTTATTCATACAAAATCCTACATTTATCCCTAAAAATGAATAGATAAAAAACAGAAATGGTTATAGTAATGCTCATTCAAAAAGTATTGAAGAAGCCCACTTACCCAGTCATTAAAGAAGAAACCAATAACTTGGACAAGGGTTTCCATAAAGCTTCAATTAGAACTTGAAATTGGTCTGAAGGTAGCAATCCCAACATTCCCGATATAGTTCTCTTCATGGCATCTACTGTAGTAGGTGGAACATCTTTCTGAATGATGCTTACGTCCAATGGCTCTATCTCTTGAATCAATTTTAAGAGTACTGACCTCTGGTAGAAATAGAACCCGTGGAAGAGTCAGTTCTCTCTTTTATATCATGATTGAAGCGGATAAATAATGTATACTGTGAAAGATGCCTAAGGATTTGCCATCTATAAGTAGACATTTAAGATAGCAAAAAACCGGAACACATAACCACTCAACAATGGCGCGTAAAATCTAATGCTCAAAGGGTTTGCTAGTGACAAAGTGAAACACCCAATAGTTCTACAGTGTTCAGGTAATTATGTTGCTTGTATGTGCATCTGTGAGTTGTGACAGAGGCTTCAAGCCTTTAACTGAAACGGGTGAAACTCGTCATGTCGGAAAGAGTATAAATTTGGTCTTCTAATCAACTGAAGACTAAATATATCACACTCCATTCAAATCAAAGCACCTCCACCAGATAACCGGATTTATATATGAATCAGTTATATAAAGCTGAAGTCTCATATTCGAGGACCATATATATCACAAACATGGCAATACACTGAAGGCTTGGTAGACTCGTGGCAAATTTTCCACAAACAATGATTTTTTTACGTCTGTTAGATCATGGATTCAAGTCATTTGACCTCACCGATGTTATTGCGCTTAAGAAGAATTAAAAGATGTAACTAATATATCTACTTTGTTAACTACAAAAATCTCTAGTCCGTTTTACAAAAGTACTTACTATCATCCAAAATGAAAGAAAATATTTTCAAATTTCACATGGAAAGCAAATGTCCCTTAGATTCCACAAATCGACTACCATCATCACCTGGTAAGAGTTTGAATCCCAATCATACGATGGAAAGGAGTTCTTTGTTACTGCATAACCTAATATAAATGCTCATAAACATACAATTGACTTATCATGAAGAAACATATTTATGATAGCCATTAATATTTGTCATTTTAACTCTCACAAGTTGTCTGTATCTTAGGAGGGAGCGAAATCAAGGGATTCATTGGCATGTAGAACAGTATACTGATCAGCTAGCAAAAAAGAAGGCTGGGCCGCATGTATATTTTACAGGTAAGTTTAGCACTACCTGATTACAGTTAAAATTCGATGCATTTGTACTAACTGGGAAAGTAGTGATAAGTTGCACAAAATCGTGCATAACCTTGGGCCTGCCCTGGGGTTTCACATAATGTCTCATTTACCTAAATAAATAAGTATACTTACTTACCATCCAAATTGGTCTTCCTATTCTTCCCATACATTAACTATGATCCCTCAACAGTTAATTATTTAATTACTACTTTTAGTAGCAACTAATCCCCCACCAATAAAGCCAACTAGTATATAATTATGGAGTAAGGGGCGGTTAATGGCAAGGGTCAAAAATCTTACCCGGTAGTATATAAAGCCAACTAGTATATAATTTTCCTTACCGGATGAACATGATAAGCGTTAAAAATCTTACCGGTAAGAGCAATGATAAAAATGAAGACTCTTACTCGATAAGTGAGGGTGAGGACTATTACCAGGGTAAGCGCTTGCCGGGTAAAATGTTGCATAGATACCATTTTGATGTACTACAATCTTACAGTAAGGTAAACGGCCCCTAAATCTTATCCAGGCAATTGGAACAGTTCAAATGGGCAAGGTGTCAATCAAGCAAAAGATTGTTTCAGTTCTTGGTCATTGACCTCTTCAATTAAATCACTGAATTTGGAAACGTCTTAAACAGCAGCAATTACGACTTAAATAATCCAATTCAATGAATCAGTATGTGCAATTCAGTTACAAACAAACCTTGGAGGATGAATCCTCTTCATGTGCCCTAATTCCATCTGACGAAGCAAAAACTAGGGTTTTCACATTTATCAAATCTTTTGAAATTTTGCCAACACGAAGGCGTGGAAAAGATACCAAGTGATTGGGACGAAGGGCAAATGATGAAGAAGAAGAAGAAGGAGAAGAAAGAGAAGGAAAAGAAGAACCACACGAGAAAAAACAGGCGGCAAAAGCTGCCATTAACAGACACCCTTTTGCGCGCTCTCTCCTGTCACTTGCTGAAACTGTAAGCGGCTTTGACCATAATTTTTATATGTAGCTCCGATTGAAGTACTGGAAGCCGACGCCAAGAAGCGAACAGAAAATACAACGGTGATCAGATTTTTGTGGGGCAAAACGTCGAACAGTTGGCGTGGGGTCTTCCATAACCAGGCATACAACGTATTTGGGCTCAAATTTCGAATACTTTCTTTACAATTGGGCCTACATATTGCCCCCCATACCAAATGGGCCCCGGGACTGTTTGGGAACGACGTTCCAGGATGCGTTACACTTTTCGTCAAAACGGAAGGTCCGGTTTGTGACCGGCTACAGGCTTGGTCTGGGATCGGTCAGATTTTTCAAAAATATTATTGTCGATACCCAACAGTTATATGACAATTTTAAAATAAAAATTGACTTTTTTTTGTCTCATTTATCCACTATTCACTATATACAAGTCATATGATGTATGATAGAATATACCAATTCACAAACGTTCACAAATCTTGTTATAATTCGTGATTGTGGCTCGTATTCTCTAAAAGAACATATTTTTTAAGTGTATTTAATTGACTCAGTTACATATTTTCAAGTGTATTAAAATAACACTTTAAAAAAATTAAAAATCGATATTAACAAAAAAAATACATAGGACCGATTTGGACCTAACCCAGGACTAAGACTGGGACCGGTCTTCATAACCGTTTACAAAGTACCTTAACTGGGCCTCAGGTTTTTGGCCAAGACCGGGACCAATAATGGAAAATAGTGTTTAGGACTGGGACCGATTTGGGCTGGGCCTAGCCCATCCCAGACTGATTTTCGGTCATCTCTACGCCCCACCTCATATTATTTTATATGGGTTTGTCGTACATGCTTTTTATATTGTTAATTGTGAGTGTTTGATTATCTATACTATATTATAAAACATTTGACAAAAACTCTTGAAAATTATTTTTTATGCATGAAGTACTGTTTATTGATGCATATTACTTACAATTCAAGAGTACAAGTAATTTTGCGTAATTACAGCTTATTAAAGCTCCATTTTTAAATTCGTATAACTAACTGCAGATAAATATAATCAAATACATGATATCCATTTTAAACATAGAAAATCTAAAATATAATTAAGATAATCATTGAGTTCTAACAGAATGTTTAATTATTATCTTTATAAAAAATTATATTATTAAACCAAAAATAAATTTCTTTGTTATTAGATTTAAATTGAAATATAGTAAAAAAAATGAATTAAAGAACTTATACCAAAAAAACGAGAACTATTAAATAGTTAATTTGATAGTTAATATCGATTTATTTTTTTCAAAATTTTATGCTATCTTCAAATTTATATTTCATTCAAAAACAAAAACAATATCGATTTCTCAAAAGCACATAAAATCGTATTGTATCAATAGAGATAAAAAATAAAAACTAAACATTAAAATCGAGATTTATCTCGCTGCAGGACCCTTCTATATATATATATATACACACACACACACACACTAGTTTTGTACCTATTGTAATGCAACTAAATATAAAACTTTCTCGTAAATAAAAAATTATTTATTTATTTATAAAATGTTCTACCCTTTAAATTATGGTTTGATAACTAAATGAGAAACATGAAGGTTGACGCCTATAAAAATCATCCATCAAATATGGATTTTTTTTAGGAAATAGTTCATCTTCAAATCTCAAAAGATAATTGTCTATTGTCTATTGTCTCACTGAGATGTGGAAAAAGTAAATAAGAAGGATAAGAAAACTTTTCTGTGTGTGTTCTCTTGGGCAAAAAACAAACAGACATGTAAGGGAGAGGAAGAAAAGTTGATTCTGTGATTTCTATTTGAAATCTTGTTGTGTTAATTCATCTTCATCTACGTGAAAATAAGGTGAGTTTAGAGTATCAACTTTCTTTATTTGGTATTTGAAATTTGAACCGTATGGTTCTTACATAGGGGTTGATGATAAAACTGTTTCTGGATGCTATTTGAGCATGATGATAAAACTGTGATAACCGATTTCATAAGCTTGTGTGAAATACGATATCCTACGTATAAACAGAAAATATATTTTTGTTTGATATATTTAAAGTTAATATGTTAGTGTTTTTATTCTTTTCATTAGAAAATGTTTTCATAATTGTTGAATTTACACATTTAAAAAACATGAGATTATTTAGGAATACATAATTACATATTGAATGCTGAAATTACATATTGTATTTCTGATGGTAGATTCATAATCAAAAAAGTCTGTGTGAGTACTGCAAAAGAAACGAAACAAAATGTAATATATTTTGTTTTTTTATTACTAGATAACTCATATGTTCATATCGATTTATTATGCGTCTCTGCATCTAGTACCAGATAAACTTCATACAATAACTTTTCAATTTGAACCCTATATTTTCATCTATGACAAAAATAGTCCCTATATTATGGTGCTACATGCAAAAATATCCTTATTGAACTAAGAGAAAACCACAATTTTTGGAATTAAAATGTCTCGTACGTTATTGTATTGCGAAAACAATGACATTTTAATACCCATTTTGTAAAACATAATTTTTATACATTATCAACTAAATTGTTGTTGATCGATGATTTAAATAATGTTAACAACAAACTAGTTTTTTTTTTTATTAACCTGGATATCCAACCTGTTATGCGAGCCGACTAATCCTAGGACGACCATCTGTTTTGCAGATAGACTGGAGTCATTGCATTTGAACTCTGTGGCCACAAGGGAATTTTTATTTCTTCTTGGATTTGAACATGAGACTTCCTGGTACTTTTGACATTTGGAGTCAAACTCAAACCAATCAGACGTCACCCTAATTTTTTTTATCAAATAAATAAATCATTAATACCAACTTAATTCGTCATTCTAGTTAGTTATAAATGGATAATCAAATCACGTGCAAAAGCTCCGATTAAAGTTGGTGTAAATTGATCCGTTCATACATGCTACACACATTTCATTTTATGTACAAATTAATGTGAGATAAAACTTTACGTTATTCAGTAACTAGAATGAAGTTCCATCATTCAATATCGTGTCTCACGTGTCTTGTTTAGAAAAATACTATATATATCACCTCATTGATTATGTTTTTCATGAACAGTAATGGATGATTGATATTTTATGCTACCGTTTATTTGATTGTTTCTTTATAAACAGTAATGAATTGTTGATACTTTATGCTACTGCTTCTTTGACGGGTTCTTTATGAAAAGTAATGGATTATTGATACTTTATGCTAATGCTTTTTTGACGGTTTCTTTATGAATAGTAATGGATGCGAACACCTTATGCTACTCTTTTTCCAATTATTTGTTTGAAAAAGTTGATTTGTCCAAACTTTGTGCTACTATCTGTTTATATGTTTGCAATTTTCCAATTATTTGATTGGACTAGGTATGAAATTAGTTGGTGAATCTTGACACCAAAAGAAACATGGGGTGACATGGAAAAAAGGAAGGGTTGGTCTGAATATTTCCCGAAGCTTGTATACATGAGATAATTAAAATTTGGACGAGAAGGTAGTAGTCTTAAGCCACAATCTTGAAAGAAGGCTGGAGAAGAACTGAAAAGAAAACATAACATTGTCGTCAACCAACGACGGATGAAAAATCACTATGATTACCGTAAGGGAAATATGCAGCTAGGTCTAAACTGAAAAACGAAACTGACAATGCCTACGATCTATCAACCAATACCTTCAATTTATCCGATGAATAATAGAAATTTCGGTCACTTTCTTTGTTAATCTTTATATAATTATTATTTTTGTAACTCATTTATTTATATGGATAATTTTTTTAAAACGGCAGAGTAAATACATGGAACCACTGACAAGTACCAGACTGCTTTACCCTGAACTTTGTGTCCAATTATTTGATGGGCTTGCTAGTGTGGGGATTGAGAGTTATGGAACTAGATCTATGATTCATGATACTTACGACTTTGATCCCAACATGAATAAAGATGTTAAAGTTATGTCTCACACACAAGGAACCGGGGGCCCAACTTCAACTCAAGAGTGTTCATCTCGCCCTCCAACCCAAAGCAAAAAGCGGAAAGATGAAGAAAGTAATTCAAACAAAGCCCGAGTTAAAGGAACTATTTGGAAGGTTATGAATGTCATGCTAGAGAAATATGGAACACCAAATTTGAAAGATAATATTGATGATTGCTTGAAGAAGTTGAAGAAACTTGGATAGGGAGCACCGTTGCATGATGATAGCTATGAATCGTATGTGTTCACACAGTGGGCACGAAGTCCCCACAGTGGCAGTGGAAGTGCACGCCGACACTATGATCGCTACAAGTAATAAAGTTGTATAGTACCAAGATCGTTTCCATAGGGAATGAGCTATTGAGAATCAGAGTGTTTTATGAACTTCTTGAGCATGTTTCGGTTGTGAATAAAAGTCAAGTTTTTGTTGGTTGAAATGTTTGAAAGATGAAATAAACATATGATTAGAATATGGGTATGGGTGTAAATTTTCCTTAAGACAGACGTAATAACAAAATGGTCAGATACTTTGTGTATTCAACATAATTGTCTATCCCGATCTCTTGAAGTGAACCTTTATAGACTGTACCCACAAAGTGTCCACCATTGCCGATTCATAATCTTGTTGATTTAACCAAGTTTGATATATAAAAATTAAGTTTGATTAGTATTAAGATTTATACCCAAATCTCTTTGTGATATAAAACTTGAAAGTTTGAACCTTAGTAAATCATACAAAACTCGTATCTCTACGTGATTATCAAAGACTCTCTCAAATCTTTGGCATCACTTAAGCCGTACTTCGAATCCGTCCATCTTTGGGTCTAAGATCTAATATTAACACTTCAAAGTGATCGGCTTATCCGAATTGAGTTAAGTCCCGACTCAAGTGACCAAGCTTAAGAATTAGCAACGATGGCAACACCCAGGTGTTGCCTACTAGCCTTAAGTTTGATTTACATCCACAACCAATGAGGTGATTAGCTCATACTAGAAATGAAAGACATGATAAAAAAATACTCGCATTAAAAGAAAATTGACAGCTTGGCCACAGAGGGCAGGCTGTGGACAGAGAATTAAAATACAAAAATTAAACTAAATCTTCAAACGAAAGAGTAAATGAACTCAGGTTGTAGCTCTTGGTTGAAGATTAAATGATCCTTTAATGCTTGCACCATGCCTCTTTATATATGAAAAGTTGAGGTTTTTGTCTAATGAATAAACTATTTTTTTAATCATTTTAGTACGAAAGGTGTTTACTATTTATCCATTTTCTAGAGATTTTCATATCACTTCAAATCTTCAAAATATTGTACCCATAGACTAGATAAAAGCAAAACATTTATTTGTCCAAAAGTAGCACCGAACATGCCCACAGTGGGCAAACAATGGCCAACTATCCACAATAACGTCCTTTTTAGCACAAAAATCAATCTTTGGTAATTCATCATATCTTAAAAACAAGTAAGACAAAATGAAGGAGATAAAAACAAATTGGGTAAATAAAGTGCTAAAAAATCCTAGAAAAGAATAATAAATAACTCTAAAAAATGAGAGTTATCACATGATGTTATACTATTTGTTTTTAGGCGAAAGTGCCTACCAAAAAAATATGGATTCGTTTAAAACCGGAGAAATGTGAGGGTTGGATTCGATTTACGACATGTAAGTATTGACTACTTTAGTTGTTGGGTTTAGATTAAACTCTGTGTCATGGATTTGTTTTTTGGATTAAAGTTTGTGTTTCTTTTATGTTTATAATGTACGTTATTTTCAAGGTAATACATGGACTTTCAAGAAGAACTTTTGTTAGTTTTGATCATCTATTGGTATTGGAAATATAAATTTTCATTAATAATATGACGGTAAGAGATAACACTCCTGTCTTAACTGGACATTCATATACACTAGAATTGTTAGGCAGATCAAATACACAATGTGTTGAATTGATGCACATTCCTCGTGACACATATATACTACTATGCAACCATTAAAAAAGGTTGGTTGCAAAATAGTAGGAATGTCACAATCGTGGAGAAGATGGCTATATTTTTTTACGATTATTTGTCATAATGAATGCTTTAGAATGGTTAAACGAAGATTTCAATACTCCACAGAGACTATTCATAGACATTTCCATGATGTGCTACCAACAATGATGAAATTTGCAAAAGATGTTATACAAGCAACATCTTTCGAGGAAACGCCAAATACATCAGAACGTCAAAGAAATCTCAGAAGAATATTTCCGATAAGTTTTCTATTATTTTTCGTAAAAACAAAACATATAATTGGGTCTAATAATTTGTATTTTTTTTAAAGGGTGCAATGGGTGCATTAGATGGAAATCTCGTACATGCAATTGTGCTTGTTGATCAATAAGCTCGTTATAGAGATACATGAAGAGGTGAATGTTATCAAAATGTTTTAGATATTTGTGATTTTAACATACTTTTCTCTTATTTTAACATACGTTTTAGATATTTGTGATTTAACATACTTTTCTCTTATGTTTTAACAAAGGGTGCAAGATGGCTATATTTTTAAATAGTTAATTTGATACTAATATTGACAAAAACCATGTAAATCAATATTAGATCGATAGAGACAAAAAATAAAACAAAATATTAAAATTGAAATGCTCGTTGCATTGTGCGAGTATCCTTCTAGTGCGTGTGTGTGTGTATATATATATATATATTATTAGTATATGCTAATATAGAATATATATGTATAGAGAGAGAGAAAGTAAATTATATGTTTGGTCCCTGTGGTTTTTGTTACATGTTTGGTCCCTATACTTAAAATGACTGAAATACCCTCTTAATTAACCTATTTAACAAAAACAATCTAATGAAGTTAGATTTAGGGACCCAAAGTGTTATAAAATGCATACCACAAGGATGTAATACATAGATATTTCAAAATAGGACCCAAAGTGTTAAAACACATAAACCATAAGGATTAAGAATGTAATTTACTCCAATTATAGATAAATATCATATTTATGATGTTGTTTATGCTAATACTCGTGGTTTTATGACTCCATATCGCAATACGAGGTATTAGCTTGCTGATTTTCGACGACAACATGCCTTGACAAAAGTAGAAAGGTTCAACCATGCTCATGCGCAACTCAGAAACGTTATCGAGCGTGCTACAGTGTCTTGAAGGCAAGTTTTCCAATTTTAAAGCACACGGCTCCCTATGTGTTTCGAATACAAAGAAAAACGTCGTAATTGCTCTTTTCGCGGTTCATAATTTTATAAAAAGATGCAATATCCACAATCAGTTATTCATGGATTACGACAACGACCCCATGTTTATTACTTAGGGACAATAAGAAACTAAGAGATGCGATGAAAATGACATGGATGGAAGGCCTTTTGGTACTCAAAACAATGAATACATGGTTAATTTATGAGACCAGATTGCAAATCAATTATGTTAAAATGCGTCAAATTAAGAATTATTCAAAAACTATCATGTTTAAATTTCATTGTTAGGTTTTCGTTTAATAGAACTTGAACAAATTAATAACGTTATGTTTGTTTGGATTAATATGAAATGTTGTTTTTAACTAGTAATATCGAGTATGCAGTTATATTTGTAAAATAATTGATTTGTTCAGACATTTCCAAACAATCATATTTCATTCAGAAATAAACCATACAAAATGTCAAAATAATAATTTGTTGTCATTCAGACTGTCTATTCTGCACAATTACTAAACAACCATATTTCGTTCTACACGATATCATACAAAATACTTTAAGCATTCTGACCACCTAACCATTTTGTATCAAACAATGTCGCAATTGTCAAACAGCTCCATATATGATTTGTTCGTTTTAAAAATTACAAATTAAATTGCTCACTGTTTTTAAAATAAAAAATTGAATCAATATACAAAAAAAATTGACAGATGTATATGATTTGTTATAATCTCCCAACTGCCACTCGCAAGCTAATTTTGGTCATTTATTGTTGCAAAAACTTGGGATGTAATATATTAATTTCTTATTTATCAAATATACATATTTAATTCCTCATAATATTATATTAACCAATAATTTATTTAGAAATATATGATAAATTAAAATAAAACAAATAAAACAACGTCCAAATAGAAGAATTGCATGTGCATTGTGGTTTAAAATTTCACATCCATTTATGAACTTCACGTTCCTCTCATTAAAGCATGCAATTTTAGATATATTAAATCCAACCTAACAACTGTACCTATTTTACAACCGATTCTTTTTCTTTTCTTCTTATTTATATATATATATATATATATATATATGATCTGTTATTGGAAGCTCAAGAAAAATAAAGACGTGTGTTTTCAATGTTCATGACTAGACAACGTTGAAGCTAATGTTACATGTTGTGCGTTTATACCACACGCAACTGGTTTTGCATGTTAGATATAAAAACACTTCATGTCTTAGATTCTATTAACGTATGTTTTTGGCTTATATATCACACGGTTAGGAATAAGTCCGTACTCAAGTAAAACTTATAAGACAAGTCATATCATTAAGTACATATGCCATTTGGTTTGCTTGTTTGTTACGTGACACGTAGAGTTTCTTTTGTGTTTCATTTAAATCATCGTATGTAAAGAAAATGAGTTGTGGGGTCTGATTGGCCAAAAAGAATTGATGGATAAAACAAATTAAGAGTTTTGATTTCTCAAGAAAAACATTTGGGAAATAAAACCACAAGCATACATACAGGTTCTTGTTTATGAGAAAACATAGGAAAAAAAACCCGGTTTTTTTTCCTTCATCTAAACTATACCCATAAGTGATTTTGGTTAAATCACCCACACAAAAAAAAAAAAAAAAAAAAAAAATCCTAAATAAACGAATCTTTCTTACATTTGACTTTAATGGTCGGTTTGGCTCTGGTGTGACAACTAAACAATCACCTGTTCAACGACGTCGTTCGGGAGTCCAATGAGGCAGGCTTTGACTGAAATGCGATGATACCACTCTGGAGTCAAGCAGTTCCATGATTGGTGTAAAGTTTACGCACCGTGGCACCTTGTACTGGTTGATTGATGCCCCTCTCGAGATCGCATAATCCATCAATTCCTCAAACGTACCGTTTTTCACTACTCGGATCTCCAACGCCCCGATTGAATTGCATTCAACCCGACCCTGTCGGTACACGGAGTTCATCGATTCTTCCATGGCTAAACAGCACCCTTCCAGCACATCGTCTCTTGGAAAATTGGCTGAATCTTTGACTAATAATTCCCAGTATATCACGTAATGACCTGGGATTGTTTTCGTATCTGCGTAACTTGTGTATTCCACCACGCTCGTGTTGAATTCGTTCAACAATTTTGATGCATTGTCGACGGCGGTCTGTAACTCCGCCTCGTCGGTTTTATCGGAGTCGATGCTCAGCAATACGTTTTTTCGTCTCACGAAATGGAACTGTGGAGCGGAGTTGTGGAATCCGGTGACTCGGAGGATGTCGCCGACACGGTACCGGCATAGACCGGCGTAAGTGGTGATCACCAGTTCGTATTCTTTTCCGACTTGTACGTTTACAAGATCCACCAGTTTGTCACCGGTGGCGCCACTTTGAGAATTTGGGTCGTGTGGGAGGAACTCGAAGTACGCCATGTTTGGCATGATGGTGTATGAAACTTCCGACGGTTTACACATGGGGTTCAGATTGAGTCCGAAATAACACTCGGATGAAGCATACATGGTGCAAACTTTGGGTAACCCGCCGCTGTAATAATCGAGCGTCGGAATGTATTGAGCCATGGCGCCGGTAACGATCACCTCTAAATACTTGGTGTTGGGCCAAATTCGCGTAATAATTCTTTCCCAGTTGTCTTTGGAGCATTCGGATTCGATAAAATCGGCGAGTTCCGGGTCAGATCTTAACACCTGTGTCATGCATCGCCGGATATCGGAATCGAAAATTTTGGCGTTGAGTGTTCCAGTTCGGATATCATGGGCGAGTACCCGCCAATTGAGCTGGAGAAAGCGGATGGCACGGAGGAGACCGGAGGCGAAGATGGCACCAAGGCGGAGGACTTGTTGACGCTCGTAAAGGCCGCACAACATCTGTGAGTACATGCTCTGAAAGGAGTCGGGGCAAAGAATAGCTTCGTTGGGGCTGGTGTAGACGTTATACGGGTCAAAAGATCGGGTCTTGAAATGGTCGCTTTTGTAGTAGCTGGTTAAAACGGGTCTGGCCAATAACCCACCAGGAGTCTTTGTTTCGGACTTGACAAACAAAAAGTAGAGTCCCTTTCCCTTATCTAAACCAGGCATGTACCTGTTTCAAACAATTCACAGCCTCATAAGCAAGGTTTTCTAGTCAACGCGTATATTTCCATTACTATTGTTGTGTATTTATTATCACACTCTTCTTCTTCTTCTTTTACAACTTTCAAAGCACAGAGTACAACTAGTCAAAATTAATGACCAACTTACAGGTTCATGACAGGCATTAGAAGACTGTAAAGTAGTTGACGTCTATCCAACTCTTCTCGAATCGTCGGCATCAGTTTTCGTTCACCAGCGGAGGTACCAGAGCTGTTAACAGAACGACATAGTTAAGTTAGGTCCAGATTAACAACAAAACGATTTCGATTTCAATTTCAACTTTAATTTTGGTGAAGCAGTAGTACAACTGACCTAGTCAGGAATTCAGAAATCGGATGAGAAGATAGAATTGGAGATCGATCGCCATTGGCGATGCGTTCGATGATCGGTTGAAGATCTTCATAAGTTACCATCGGAATCTTGGACTTGAAAGTTTCTCGATCGGTAGCGCCACCGAGATTGTGAAGTCGGAGATACTCCGTCTGAGAATTCCGACAAAGTATCTCCGCCAGCACATTCTCCTGAACGGCGTCGGCGTTTCTTGTCATCTCCTCGATGAATTGAAGCGCTTTCGCATCTTTCTCACATGCCGGCGGTCCCAACGGTGAACACAGAGCATCAACCGCCATTAGATTAGAGAATTAATCAAGTCTTAATTTAACAAGGTTAAGAAAGAATAAGTGCGTGTTTGTGGTGTTTGTATGTGAGAGAGAGAGAGGGGGAATAAAAAGTGTTTGCGATTTGAGAAAAGGAGAGGGGTGAAAGGGTGTTTATATAGAGGAGGTGGTCACGTGACATGGCATGGAGGGCAGTTGGGGAAACTAGGAAGGAAGGTAGCTGACGAGAGGAGAGGTCGTGGACAAATTTGTAATATTAGGAATGGCGGGATGTAGCGCCACGGGGGAACAGGTTGGCCCATGACAGGTGTATACATCATCATTCTAGGGGACACGTGGGCCCCACTTTCGCACACGTCAGCCAAACCACGCGCCTCTTTTCGGGTTAAATTGTTGCCGATTGATTACGACGGCTTGCCGGCAGCTTCAACTGTTTGCAAACCTGGCACGTGACAAAAACCAAAACACATTACAAACTCCTTTAATTTCCCCATACAAACTATTATCATAAACATTACTTTAATAATAAAAGGAGAGATTTTTATATATTACATAAAAAAACATTTATTTTTGAAAATTTTATTTTAAGGTAGACAAAGTATGTATATGCATACACTGTCTACCTTAAAATAACAAGACACATTTGTCTTCTCGATACCGAATTCATGTCAAAGCATGAACAATTTAATTAATTGATAACATATACAACACTATAATGCTAGTTGGCCTAAGTTTTTGTCTGCTTCAATTTTGTCAATCAGATATTAATTACTATTTGTTGCGTTTTTAAATTTATTTTAAAAATAATTGTCTATTCATGTAAAATAGTATAAAAAAAATTAGAGGGTTTGGGTTTTTTTCCCTTTAAATAGCAAAAAAAATGACTTAAAATTTGGTTTATGAAACCACTTTTTAATATTTAAATATATTTATTAAAATTGTCATAGAAAATCGAAATAAATAAAATCCGTAATTTAAAAGAAAAAGGTAAATTTATGTTGTGTTGCAAACACTAAACGCAGATCTCATTGGGTGTGGATGCGGAGGAATCACATGGAGACTTCATTTGTAGAAACAATTGAGTTCCTTTCAAGAAAACTTTATTACCGATGCATTTTTATTTTATTATTTAAAAGATAATATAGTTATATTTTTTTGGTATTATTTATTTTGATTATTTTCAATTTAAATAATAGGAGAAAATAATTTCATTTCATTTTTTATATAAGTATATAACCATTTTTTAATCATATTCGTTGTATTATCTCAATCAAAAGGGTTAGATGTGTTTTTAGTTCTTTCCCTATTTTTCGGGGTTCTTTCCCGATCTCATCCTCATGTATATCCGTGAGAAATGATTTAAATATATATATATATATATATATATATGGTTTTTTTCTATCAAATGTTAGGGTTTAAGATGTTATTTCATATATATTTATTTCATAATGTGATAATTTTGCATGTATTTGTTCACCATGTAAAACCTTTTTATATGTATTTTTCATTTCACAAATTTAACAAAAAAGTTTCAGATGTATTTTTCTTCACAAGGTGAAGATAAAAGATACGTGAAAAATACCTTATATCATAGCTTTTGATTAAAAAAAATCATGTCAAATTTTTTTTTATATCGGTTCTGCATGAGTTTATAAGATTTTTGTGGTTCTACCTTGATCACCTTTAATCTTAAACTCATTCATGAATCGTGACTGATACGGGGATTAACCTGGTGTATATCATCCTAATGTGCATCCAATGGAGAAGATCTATTTTTACGCTTCTAACATTAACTCTCATTCTCATTGAAATCTAATCCTATATATATAGTTTGAAATACAAACCAATCTTAACCATTCATATCCCAATCATAATGAATAAACCATGATTATATTCCATAAATATCTCCATTGTTTCTAATATAAAATTTGTATAGATTATAACATTTATATGTTTGTATTTGAATACATACATACATACATACATACATACATACATACATACATACATACATACATACATACATACATAGGAATTAAACCATTGGAACCACTTCGTTACAAGAAGTTTGTAATAACCCTCACTCTACTTGTGTTAATTTTGTGAAAGTCCAAGTTTAAAGGTGTGAACCTTACCATTCTTCAAGGACTTGAGTTATAAATGTAGGAGGAGTAAAGGAGAAGGGGCTCTCATTTCACTCATTTGATCGACTACTCCTATGGGGGGTGGGGTGTTAAGAGCTTTGAGGAGAAAGAGTTAGATCCGGAGCATTTTGGAGATGAATCAAGTGGTGCAAACATCATCTTCAGGTGTTCCCAAGTTTAATTCCTCCATTAATGGAGCTTTGGGTTCTTGAGTTAGGGAATTTAGGATTCTAGTGAAGGTTTCATGGGATTATGTTATGTTCTATGAGAATCCACTATCTCATTGAAGTTTGTTGTTGAAATTAGAATCTAATCAGGTTTTCCTATTGAGATATTAGTTGTGATTATCTAAATTCAGGTGTTGGTTTGGGACTTTTAGCCGTTAGGCTTGAGGTGGGGTGCAGGACATTAGGTGAGTTCTCTTACCCTAGTTTTATACACATGTGACCAGTTATGAACTTTTTGAAGTACTGAATATGGTTTCATGCATTGATGTTTTAATTATGTAACCATCGTGCATTGGTGTTTATCTACAGTTACGTGGTTACGTAGGATGTGTGAACTCGTACAACAGGAGTAGGGTTTTTTGAGATAGTGATATACCTTGAGAATGATGATTCGTGTGCCTTGAATTTGTTTCTTATGCACATAGGATGGGCATATACTAAGGGTCTTGATTGTGAATGTCATGGTGGTGTGACGGTATGGCTACAAAAGATGTACAAAGTCTGTGTGAGGAAATAATGTGCATATTTATTTGCATATTGTGTTCTTATATTGGATCTTCTGTATTCAAATGTTTTAACTGTTGAAGGTAAAATAAGAGAATTCATTAGACCTTTTGGTATAATCCTTGTTTTTCAAAACTAAACCATTTTAAGATAAATTTCACGTTGAGAATACTTCAAGAGGGAAAGGGAAAATTTGATCCAACCGGAGTTTGACTTGTAGTTTATTAGCTGTTTGTCATTAGTTTTATAATAAATCTCAGTTGTTGATGTAGATTGTCCGCTGCAAACTACTGAGATATATTGAGAAACCTTTTACTCATTTACATTTGGTGCTGCTTTGGCTTTCCTTTATGAATATTCACTACAATAAAACTGGATTTATAGGACACCATCAATTTCTAAGCTTCCTAATAGACCGTTTTATAGGACATAATATATAGGACCAAGTATAAAGCACCATATCTAAAGGTGTTCTGATAAGTTTATATGACGTTTTAACAAGTTTTTTGTGACACTTTATATACATAGCGTCACATTTGCAATTTTATAGGACATTTTTGCGAAAGTGTCCAATAAACTCATTTTTTACAGGACACTTTTTAAATAGCGTCCTATAAAATTGTAAATGGGACGTTTTGTATTAAAAGTGTCTTAAAAAATTTGTTAAGACACCAAAAAACGTCATGTAAACTTATTACAACGCCTTTAAATGACGTTTTATTTTTTGATCCTGCAAAATAAGTCCTATAAAATGGTGATTTAAAAAAAAATTAGCATCTTATAAACCCGATTTTATCGTAGTGATTGTTATGTTGGTCTTTGGATCGTTACAAAGTTCACATAAGCCAACATTCTCACATATATTAAGTCGTTAACATTTCTTGATAGTATGTTATGTTGTTAGTGCATGTGACCGTTTATGTGAACTTTCAGTAGCAAAGTAATATACATTATCCTTATATATATATAATCCCATGTATTTAAAAATCGTAGGTAATGATGAGAATGTATTCTAATAAAAACTGAAAATCAACACAAGTCGTTTTATGTCTAATTTAAAGAATTAAAGGAATAAACAACAAAATGATGTGTATATTGGAGACTTAAAATTTAGCATGTTATGGGAATTAATTACTTAGTTATTAAATAACAATTTATTTATTTGTTTTTTAGTGTGATTGTATATATACATGTATGTGTTGTCTGTATTATGTATTTATTTTTTGAGTATTATAATACTTTTTATTTGAATATTTTTATTATTCAAAAGTCGGTTTTTATTATTGAAAAGTCGGTTTGTGAAGATGGATATATATATGTTGATTCCAAAATTTAATATTCACAAAATCCAAAAGTCTGTGATTCCAATCCTCTTTATTTTATATTTATATATATATATATATATATATATATATATATATATATATATAGAGGAATGATCAAATGAAAACAACATTCATTTGTAAAAATCGTAAAAACCATTTTTATACGTCGATTTCATTGTTTAATCTTATGAAAATTTTTCATGAAATTGTTTAATCTTGTGAAATTATTTCATATAATACTTTTTTTGATAAATTTGTTTCATATATGATTATGAAATTATTTCATATAATATTTAATAAAATTTTAATGAAACTGATTCATGTATTTCTCTAAAATTAAAATAATGAACATGATAATATCCATGATTAACATCATACATAATAAAAATGGTTAATCAACCTCTCATAATTACAAAAAAATGAACAAAATAAAAAATTATGATTGGTTGAATGAGGTTTTCATGGTTTTTACAAATTGAGTGCTTTTTATTTGAACGTTCCCATATATATATATATATATATATATATATATATATATATATATATACAGAGAGAGAGAGAGAGAGAGGTTGGTTATTATACAACCATTGACATTCGTGCAACCAATACAATCCAATATCAACCGTACATTTCATTTGATTAATATGTGATTTTATAGAAGTTTTGATTGTTACCTAATATAAAGTATTGATCACAGTGTTTTTGAATATTTATGGAAATTATGAGAGTTTATTTATTATGATTTGAATATTTATGAAAGATGAATATGATTCATTAATTATGATCAATATTTTATATTAGGAAACAATCAGAACTTCTATTAAATCACATATATTTGAAATGGACGGTTGAGA